TCTCTCTCTCTCTCTCTCTCTCTCTCTCTCTCTCTCTCTCTCTCTCTCTCTCTCTCTCTCTCTCTCTCTCTCTCTCTCTCTTAGTCTGTCGATACTGAGAAGTCAGGTAGCTGGAGGGGGAGGGAGAGATGCTGGACTGGAGGAAGAAGAAGAGAAAGAACTCACTCTCTCTCTCTTTCTCCTGGCGCCGGTACTAACCTGTGAAGGTGGCGCCTTGCTGCAGGTACCTCGAAGACGAAGCTGGAGCGATGGCGACACAGGTAAGCCCCCAGGTAAGTCCCTGGCCTCCGCCACTCTCCTCTCTCTCTAACGCTACTCTAAGCGTCCAGCCCTGAAGACTACTCCTAGCTACTACTGCTGCAGCGCTCCGCAGAGTGCTGCTGCCGCATCCCGAGGACTACCTCCTGGACTGCCTCCTGCCTGCAGCCTGCGGGGCGGACCAGTACTATATAGTATATAGTGCTGGTCCGGCTGGGAGGCTGCTCCTGCCAATGCCGAATCGTGCCAGACCCTGAGGCTGAAGTTCAAAAAAAGGTTGTCTTGAAACGGGCCTAAAAATGGCTTGCGCTTATCCCTGGTCTAGCGCCTAAGTTTCAGGAGAGGTGGACTTTATGAGGGTCTGAAAATGACCCTCCTTTTTAGGCTTTTAGGCTGAAACGACACAGGGTCTGGAGGGTCCATATTTTGCCTGGTCGGGCCCTGCAGGCCCGTGTGGTGCGGAGTATGCCACACCCCCCCCTCCTTGAAAGACTAAGCTTACCTGCGAGGGCGAAGCTGCCTGTCGGAGGGAGGGACCAAAGTCCGGGTCGGAGGGGCAGGTTGTGAAGCTTCCTTAGCTAGTCTTTGTCGTTCGTAGTGAGAGTAGATCAGAGGTGCGGATGCTTGCAAATCTGCTCGTGAAATCCACCGAGTGTCGTCAAGATCGCATGCTTTGAAGGTAACTTTGTACTGTTGAGGCTTGTTGTCGTACTTGCGATCCGTGATGATGCGGTCGACTTCCTGATGACCATCCATAGAAGGAGGGTCTTGCGATCATCGGTCTGGGAAATCATCTCTCTTAGCCAGTGTATATGTCGCCATCTTCGGGGTGGACCGGTAGATGTGGAGGGATGTCGATCACAAAAGATGGGCCGTCGGGCTTATCACCTGCGGCTGAAAGGACGGTCCATGGTCCAAACCACTTGGGGAGTAGCTTGCGTGAAACATCCTGTTCGAGCACAAACTCTTTCGCAGAGACCCAAACCAGATCGCCGATGCGGATGAGACATGGCACGGGACGCCTGTTGGCTTGCTGTTGCATGCAGACTTGAGTCTCGTGCATGTTCGCACAGGCTTGAGTCAGCAATTCCCTGTACTTCCGGACGAAGGTGGGAGAGCAAGCAGTGTCTATGTCAGCAGTTTGTGGGAGGAGTCGGTCAGCGAAGATACGGCCTTTCCGGCCACCGTGGTGCAACTCGAATGGAGTCACACCGATCGCCGGATGCAGCGAAGTGTTGTAGGCGAACTCAATGTCGAGGAGGCGGTCAACCCAATCCTTTTGATCCGGACGGATGAGTGTACGAAGCATTATTTGAGCAGTCTGATGTGCTCTCTCCGTTTGCCCTTCAGTTTGTGGGTGTTGAGCCGAACTCGGTTTCATTTCGGTGTCGGACTCCTTCATGAGGGAAGTCCAAAATGCCGATATGAACTGAGTGTCGCGGTTGTTGACGATGTCTTCTGGAACACCGTGGCTGCAGATCCAACCGGTGTGCAAGAGTTGCGCGAGATCGGGAGCCGTGGCGTAGTACTTGCACGGAAGAAATCGTGCAAACTTACTCAAATGGTCAACGACCGTGAGGATGTCGTCGTGCCCGAGGCGGTTGAGGGGAAACGGGCCGGTGACGTCCATAGCAATGAAGAGGTCGGGTTCCCGGGGAATAGGCAACGGGCGCAAATCGCCACAGGGATTACAGTTGTGGGGCTTGCTTCGTCGGCAAACTTCGCAAGAGTCATAATACCGAGTGACATCGATGATGACGTCGGGCGACCAAAACCGTTGCCGAAGTCGTGCAATAGTCCGATTGACTCCGAAATGGTCGGCGAGTCGCGAGTCGTGGTACTCGCCGAGAAGGCGAGTTCGAAGACGGCGGTCTCGTAGGACGTAGAGTAAGTCCTTGCCTCACGAGTGGAGAAGCAAGTACCCGTCGACGATGCAATAATTGTTGGCCGACGGGTGATCCGAAGATAGCTGCGCATATAGCGTGGCGAAATCCGGATCGGAGTGGCAGCCCCAAATGAAATGCCGCTAGAGTTCCTCGTCGAATGCGAAGGCATGATGTGTCATAGCGCAAAGATCGGGTCTTCGCGAGAGTGCATCTGCTGCGCCTTTGGAGAGGCCGGCGAGATGTTTCGGTGTGAAGTCAAATTGGTCGATGAAATACATCCACTGTCCGAAGTGTTGCTCACCGTATCTTGCGTCTTGTAGTAGGTCAACGGGTTGTTATTAGTGACCCATGTGAACCTACGACGCCCAAGGAGGAAGTGTCGCCATCGCTTGAGAGCCATCACGAACGCGAGCAGCTTCTTCTTCCTTGCATCATCAAGTGAGCTGATGGGAGGCACCTTGTGGCTGAAGTACTCCATGGGATGCCAGTCGTCACTGTCATGTTGTTCCAAGACTTCCCCAATACCATAGCCGGAGGCGTCGGTTGTCACTCTCGTTGGCAAGGTGGGGTCATAGATGCTGAGGCCGGGTGCCATGAGCATGGCCGTCTTGAGTGCTTAGAATGACCGGCGCGCTTCGTCGTCAAATACGAATGGCACCTTTGGCGATTGTAATCTCGTCAATGGTGCAGCAATCCTTAAGTACCCGGTGATGAAGCATTGGTAGAAGCTTGCCAACCCCATGAATGAGCGAACGTCTATGGTGTTGGTGGGCTCGGGCTATACGCGGATGGCCTCAATCTTGTCCGCGAGCGGACGGATGCCTTGCGGCGTCACATAATGACCCAAGTATTCGAGCTCCTGCCGCGCGAATTCACATTTGTCATGGTTGGCTTTGTACTTGGCTTATCTTGGCCGCTCCAAAACGGTGCGCAGGTGCTCCACATGCTCGTCCAAACTCCGGCTGTACACCAAGCTATCGTCGAGGTAGATGAGTACAAATTTGTCTAGCATGTGTCGGAACTCCGTCGTCATAGCCGCTTGGAACATGGCCGGGGCATTCGTAAGGCCAAAAGGCATAACCAGCTATTCGAAATGTCCATATCACGTCTTGAACGCGGTCTTATAGCGGTCCTCCCGTCGGATCCCTAGTTGGTGATATCCCGATTGGAGGTCAAGCTTGGAGAAAACTTTTGCGCCGTCCAGCCGTTCGGGGAGGTCGTGGATGCATGGAAGAGGGTAGGCGTTCTTAACGGTTTGCGCGTTGAGCTTGCGATAATCGATGCACAACCGCAAGTCCTTGTTCTTCTTCCAGACGAAGAGAACGGGAGCGTCATATGGCAAAGAGCTAGGCCGAATCCAGCCTTTCTCAAGAAGGTCGCCGAGTTGTGCCCGTAGCACACTTAACTCTTCCTTGCTCATGCGGTAGATGGAACCGCGTGGAGGTATGGCCCCGACCTCGAGGATGATCTCATGGCGGATCGGCCGATCCGGTACAACTCCGTGCGGGGCTTCGAAAACATCGCCATAGGCGTCGAGAAGCTTTGTGATGCGTGGGTCCGTCGATGTGTCTGTCGATGGGATGTCATGGGGAGGGAGGGCGTGGAGAAACACACACCCGTTTCGACGTCATCTCGGGTGATGGAAGCTCGAATGCTCGCGGCGGACACCACGTGACAGTTGATCGAAAGGTGAGGTTGAGGCACCGTGCATGGGACTAGTACGTCGTTTCGATCACGAATGTGAACGGTGCGGCGGTAGAAGTTCACCGGGTGATCCTCGCTTCACAGCCATGACATGCCCAAGATCATGTCGAACTTGGTGTCCAAAATGTCGAAGGACACGGCCTCGCTTGCATGCGGGGCGAAGTACACGGGGACGGAATCAATGCACCAGTCGATTGACTTGTGCGTGTGACCGTCGGCCAATGTGATTTGCGTGGGCTGCGACTTCCTCCGAGCGCTTGGCCCCAGGCCATTTCGTACCGTAAAATCTTGGCTCATATAATTGCGAGTAGCTCCACAATCGATCAAAGCGTTGCAGGTCGCTTCTCTGATCTGAATGCTTATGTACAACAATGGCACGCCGTTGGTGGCGTACCGTTGTGTCTTGAACTCGAGGTCGATCTTCGCAAGGTAGTCGCGAAGGTCAACAACCCCTATTTCAGCGTCCAACAACGGAGTTGGTACTGCAATGTGCAAGTAATCCTGCAATTGTGCCATGAGCTCATGGCAATGCGGTTTCGGCAATCGATCGGTCGGGGGAAGGGCATCCGTTGGAAGTCCGCGAATGTCAACGGGTCGAGTTTCTCAAGTCTTGACCATGGCGTCGAAATCCCCGATGAAAGTTTGCGGTGAAGCTGCCGAATCGGTTGTCGATGGTGATGAAACCGTGCATGCGGTGGAGTCTTGCACGTGGAGTGGTTGGTCCAACGGTGGGACCAAATAGACAGCGTAATCCTCGTAAGTGAACCGAGGACTTGCGACATCCGCATTCTCCCCAGATGTGTAAGAGGCCGTTAGCAAGGCGGTCGAATCTGGCGGAGTGAGAGGTGGAGTCGCCTCACCTACCGCGTAACTCAATTGTCCGAGCTGGTTCGAGGTCGAACATCCTCCTTGCCTTGATCTTGGCATTGGGAGGTCTTGTGCTTGGTGTTGTTGCACCAATAGCAGCATCCGTATCAGTTGCGGTACTTGTATTCGGCCTCGGTCAAGCTGAACTTGACCCATGGTACTGGCTGTCCATTTCCGGCCGGCGATGCTGTTTTCGTCTTCCCTTTTCCAAGGGAGTTGTTGTTGCTTCGCGGCTGGACGACGACCACCTGATCTCCCTCACGTGATGTTGGGGTGACTGTCGAGTCTTCCATAAGGTTGTCCGGTTGGACTGCAGCGACAGGCTGCGGACGCGGACCAAATTTTCCTTTCTCCACATAGGCTGGCTGCCATGCTGATTTCTCGTGTGCAGCCGCCCTGTCGATCTTGATGATCTCACGAGCCTTGTCGATGATTTCGGCGAAGGTCATGTATTGTTCGCGATCACCAAGTGTGAGGCTCAAGGCGGTACACAACCGGTTGTAGAACTCCTGGCGCAAATGCGAAAATGGCAAGTCGAGATCAGGTGTTGCCACGATCTTTTGGCATTCCGTGAGCCAGTCGCGTGTCGGTGTGTTGCCTTGAGTCATGCTGAGGAGGCGGTTAATGGCGAGCGTCGGGGCGTCGTCAACAATGAATTGCTTTCTTCCATTCTCTCGTCAGATCTTCCCAAGAGATCTTTTTGTGCAGGTCGGTGACCTGGACGCCGTGGATAGTTGCCATGTGGCTGAGCCAGATCTGGCATCCGCCTTTGACATTGAGGAACAACGCGGAGATGTATAAGTGATTGGGGACCTGATGAATCCGAAGCTCCATCGTAAAGCCCTGCCACCAGGGGACCGGGTCCTGATTCATATAGTCATCAAACCTCTCGACCCGAAACGTCAGCACCTTGTACTGCCGTGATGCACTGGTGCTGCCATTGTTGTCGGGCGGCTGGTGTAGTTGTCGAACCTCGTTCTTCAAGGTGTAGAGCTGCTCGCTGATGGAGGTCGGTGCGGCGAAGGTGCTGATGTCGCCGAGCATTTCAAGAACATGATCAACTCATTGCTCCAACTGGCGGGTGGAAGCTGCATTGCTGGATTCGCCGCAGCTGGTCTTGGTGCTGCTTGCTCCAAGTCGTGTACACGGGTATGAAGTGTCCGTGTAGCATCCTCGTGGTTCCGCCCTGCCTGTTGGAGTTTCTCCGCCTGGTGCTGTTTCTCTAACTCAAACTGCAGATGGTTACAAGTGTAAACCAACTGAGTCACGTATTTGGAGAGAACCTCCTTGTGCTGCTCTTCCGGTGTTGCATCGCCATGGCCCTTGGATGTCGATGCTGGTGGCTTCACGTCGCTGCAGCAGACCTTGGGCCTGCTTGCGGCGGGCCTGGGCATCTGCGTCAGTTGCGGCCTGAAGCCGCTGCCTCCACTTCAGCCTGTAGGCGGGCATCCTCGGCTGCCGCCTGGCGCTGTTCCTCAGCTTTGATCTGTGCGAGCTGATCTTGGATCCGCTGTCGGAACTTGGCATGCCCAAAACTGGAACCGTCATGGCGGCGGGGCACTGCCGACGTGTCACTGCTGACGTGGCACTGTTGCTGTCGTGGTACTACTGATGTGGCACTGCTGCTGTCGTGGTACTGTTGACGTGGCACTGGTACTGTCGTGGTACTGCTGACGTGGCACTGCTACTGACGTGTCACTGCTGTTGTGGCACTGCTCCTGACGTGGCACTTACCAAACCGGGAACGCAGGCAAAGGGCCGGGTGGGAGGGAAACACAGGAAGCTCACCAAACTGCACTTTCCATTCCTGGTCCTAAATTCTCCTAATCAACAGAACAAAATAAAAATAAAAAATAAAGAAGAGTATCCCCCCCCCTTTTTTTTCTTTTTTTTTTTTTGAATATCTGTCGATCGGCTATGAGTGAGGCATTATGGAGGAGTGTGATGAGCGAGATCTAGGCAAGGTTTAGCAAAGTTTCGACTTTCAAAAAAATGCGATCTTGAAAGAAAAAATTGCACGAAATAGAATGGAGGTTCCACTTTCAGAGACGAATGGATCAAGTTTCCGAGAATATGACAACCTCCCTAGTTCACCTAATATGCCCAGAGTGAAACAACACAAAAAAAACGAAATGCTAATATCCGAATTTTTGGAGATCTGTTGCGTTGTAGAGATTTGACGAAGCCCTTCTTGACTAATCAATAACAATCAATCAATCAATCAATCAATCAATCTAGCTCCTTAATTGGGTGGATCCTATGTTTGAGAGGTCCGCTCCAATACCAAACTGTTGCATACCATAACGGTGCAGACCAGAACAAGAACCGACCTCTCTCACATAGTACAGGATAGCGTAGTGGAAGGCTAAAATACCAATGATCAGACCAATCAATGTCGCAATGCAGACCAAACATACATCATCATCATCGCAAGTACAAGACCATCCGGAACACAATCGGGCCCACAAGAAAGTTTGGCCTCACTCGGCTATACGGGCCCACGCTCCCAGACCCGGGTCGGCAGGAGTAGCGATTTGGATCCCTGCTGATTCTAGATTCCAGATGATCCATTGGGTG